AACTGAAAGCTGGGTAGCACCTCCAAGGTTTAACGGATCCAGTCCCACTATTTTCAGAGTAACTGTTCCAATACCGAGGATGACGAAGTGGCCTCAGACAATGTCTTAGGCCAACGTCTTCCCTCCCCGGAGGGGAAAAAAGTTACTGACACATACAGCATCATAGATGAATCCCAAATGTATTACGCTAAGTGAAAGCAGCGAAACTGAATATCTATACACTGCATGATTTCATTTATATGACTTTTTTTAAAACACAGAACTGCAGAGGCAGGAAACAGATCAGAGGTTGCAAGAAACTACGGTTGAGGATAGGGTATTGATTACAAAAGAGTTTGGGGCTACTGGGCATGGTGGCTCAAACCTGTAATCCCAACAGTTTGGGAGGCCAAGGAGGGCAGATTGCCTGAGCTCAGAAGTTCAAGACTAGCCTGGGCAATATGGCAAGACCCTGCCTCTATAAAGAAAAAAAAAGAGAAAAAAAAAAGCTTGGGGGCAGTGGTTACTTGACTGGATACATTTGTCAAAATGTGTAGAACTATATGCACTAAAAAGGGTGAATTTTACAATCCATAAATTATACCTGAATAACCTAACCAAAAAAATAAGAGTGTTTCTGGTGAGACTACGTGCATGGACAGAGGCAGATGTTATCATTTTTTTGCTGGAGAGTCTCACGTTTCAATAAATGCCAGCAGTTCCCACGCAGGGAATAGGCAGTTTCCCTAAACAGAGTCATTTCCCTGCTCCCACCTTCATTTCCACTAGTGGTCTAAGCTCCACCAGGCACAAAGAGCTTCCCATTCAGGAAGGGCCAAGGTTCAGGAAGAGGGAGCAGAGGCAATGGGGTGAAGCAGCAGGCCTGCTCTGTGGGCAGCAGAGGGCTGGATAAAACCAAGTGGTTTATCCCTGAAGCTGCTCAGTCACTCCCTCGGTTAATTATCTGTCTGCTGATTCATGACTTGTGGTTCCTGCGGGAATGCTTCCTGGAGATTTCTGCCAACAGGGCAAGAAGGGTTCTTGGGACTGGGAGGGGATGATAACCAGAGATCTCAAGTAGGGTGGGGAGCTTTAGAGGAGAAATGTGTATCAGGAAATTCTAGAGTCATAGCCAGACTCCCCCTCCTCACTGTGGTGTGCTTGCCTCATCTTATGGTCTTCCCAGGAGACCTCTGTCACTCCTCACCTTTGCCCTCACACCCACAAGACCGCCAGGGAGAGAGGGGAATGTTGCCCTTTTAATGGCTCCTCCCAGGAGGGAAAAAACAGTCAAACACTTCACAGAGGATCCCTTGAGTTTTTCACACTGTCAGATCACAGGTCTAAATGGTGCAACAGTGCAGCGGTCCAAATGCCCAAAGAACTCATGATGTCAGCAATGTTTTAATACCCTCCAGATTATCCAAATGGAGCACTTGAGGATCTTATATGAATGAATGCAAATATTAAGATATTAGGTTTCTTAAAGTGAGGCACATCATCTAAAAGCAGCCTTTTCATCGCATTCCGTAGATATTTATTTTGCTGCCTACGTGCCAGGCACTGGGCATAGAGTATTGAACAAAATAAACATGTCCCTCTCCTCATGGAACTTGTAATCTTATAGATGCTTTTATCTTCCTGTTTTTTCAAATACAGGGCTTGAGGTTTTCTCACAGGTAAAGCAAATGTATAAGCCTCTTTCCTTCTTGGCCTCTTCTGTGGATTCTTACTGGGTTAGAGTGGCTGAGATACACCAAGCCAGCAATCTGGAATGAGCTGAAATAAAAGGGGCTCCCTCTCACATATGTGTGGGGAAAAGGACCCCATCAGTCTCATTCTGGAAACCTGCACAGTGCTCACTCATGAAGCAGTAACAGCTTTTGCCTCCAATACATAGTAGAGAGCAGTGGTAGGAAAAATAATGACAATAGTAGTTGTCATTTACTGAATAGTTTTTTTGTGTCTCTGTCTCATTTAATCAGCATAATCATAGAGGCACTGTCTCCTCTACCTTACAAATGAGGAAACTGAGCTCTCAAGAGATTAGGTAACTTCTTTAAAGTCACACAGCCAACAGGAGACAAAGTCAAGAATCAAACCCACATCTTCCTGGCTTTAAACCATAGCTCTCCCTTTCTGAAGCCAACAAGCCTTCCTCCTGTGTTTCTCCAGGACCTGAGGATTCCTGCAGAGGGCTTCAATTGGAGAGTTTCTAGAATATAAACTCCAAAAGAGAAATAAGCACCTCAGCTTATACCTAATCAGGTCAGAATAAAAACCTAAACACAGGGAAGCCACAAAACCCATACTTCCTAGGTGAAGCTAAAAAGATCATCTTTACATAAAATTAAAAACTTGATGCTATCCTCAATCAACCTCTCTTCTCCCCATAGTAGACTCTCTACGCTGGGACGTTTCTGTGCCACTCCCATACCCACTCAGCTCTTTCTGTGCCCCTTCAACACTTGGAGTCCCAACACAACAGAGGCAGATGTTATCATTTTTTTGCTGAAAAGTCTCACGTTTCAATAAATGCCAGCAGTTCCCACATGGGGAATAGGCAGTTTCCCTAAACAGAGTCATTTCCCTGCTCCCACCTTCATTTCTACTAGTGGCCTGAGCTCCACTCTGCTACTCTGGGACAACCTTTCTGTGCCATTCCCATACCCACTCCCACCAACTGCTTGCTTCCCCCCAGGGATCTGATGACCCTGCCACCAAAACTGGGATGGCAGTTATAAATATGGTAGAAACTGCTTTGCAGGGCTGGGGCCAGGGTAGTACTCTGGAAGTCTGACTTTAGAGCCTCTGCCCTTAAAAACTACCCTCTGCAGCTTCTCAGAGAGAGTGTGGGGCTTGCTCAGCACAACCCATCACCACTTCTGGAATTGCCCCAAACACAAGATTAATCTGTGAACCATCTCCTAAGGATTTTAATTATTATTTTTAGTAGAGATTAGGTCTCACTATGTTGCCCAGGGTGGTTTCAAACTCCTGGGCTCAAGCAATCCTCCTACCTCCACCTCCCAAAGTGCTGGGATTACAGGCATGAACCACTGTGCCTGACCAGATATCTTTTTTTTTTTTTTAAATATGGAACGCTTCACGAATTTGCGTGTCATCCTTGCACAGGGGCCATGTTAATCTTCTCTGTATCGTTCCAATTTTAGTATATGTGCTGCCGAAGCGAGCACCTGACCAGATATCTTAAAGGATCTTTTAATGCAAACTTAGGTGTGACAATGCAGTAGAATCCAATACACTCAAAAGTGAATTTAGAACACTGTGAAAGTAAGAAATGCTTAATGACAGCAAAAATTGTTGTAACTGCATGGAAGCAGGCATCTCTGTAAGAGACAGCTGAGCGGCCCTGGTGTATTTCTCCATTCCCTGCATCAACAGCCAGAAGCATCTGAAACAAGGTTCCATATGTCCCAGGGCAGAATGCTGGAGATTCCTATTTCCGCGTCACAGTCAGCAGCCTGTTCACTGCAGGCTAACCCTACCAGCTGATCTGTTTTAGTCTCTATCACATGAAAAGTTCAACAATAACCACTGCAATATTCCCCTATACAACAACTGTAATCCCTCCTTCAAGATACCCTGGCCCTGTCCAGGATAAGATATACGTCTATACACAGAAGAGTCTTGAAGAGAATCACTATTTCGAATCGTTTATCTTTGAAGTGAACTTATCAACAAATCTTCCCTTTTTAAAAGAAATCCTGGCCAGGTGCGGTGGCTCACTCCTGTATTCCCAGGACTTTGAGAGGCCGAGGTGGGTGGATCACTTGAGGCCAGGAGTCCAAGACCAACCTGGCCAACATGGTGAAACACCGTCTCTACTAAAACTACAAAAGTTAGCCAGGCGAGGTGGCAGGCGCCTGTAATCCCAGCTACTCGAAGGAAGCTGAGGCAGTATAATTGCTCAAACCCAGGAGGCAGAAGTTGCAGTGAGCAGAGAACGCATCACTGCACTAAGCCTGGAAGACACAGTAAGACTCTGTCTCAAAAAAATATAAAATAAAATAATCCCTTCTTCAGGGTCTAGATGGTTTTATGGGTACTACAGTTTTTATTAAAAATGCTTACATGAACTCTGTGTCATCCTCTGAGGCAGAGGCAGCCCCAGCGGACCAGGAGCCAGGATTTCTCCCCACCCCAGGCAAAATCACCAAGGGCTCCGAGAGGACCACGAGCAGCACCCCGGGCTGTGCCGGCTCCATTCCTCCACCCCAGCACCAACGCGGCCGAAAGCTGACTGCCCTGACGGCTGACCGTGTGCGCAGCAGCCAGAGACGAGGCCAGATATCCCACCGGCTCAAGGGAGTCTTTTCGTGGCTCCCCGAATACACTAGAGATTTTTTCGGGTGCAGGGTCTGCCCCGGGAGCAGAGGCACCCGGGAAAACTGGAGGAGGCAAAGCCCTCTTCCTGCTCCAAAACAATCTCACAGGAAGCCAAGTTGAAGAAAAAAAGAAAGAAAGAAAGGAAAAAGAAAAAACCTTCTGGAGAAATCGTAACACCAGGAGAAACTGGAAATGTGGGGAAACTGGCAAACGCGTGCGCGCGCGCACGCTCTCACCCAAAAAGCCACAGCGGCATCTCCCTGCCAAGGCACGGGAACAACCCCCGGAAGCCCCACCTTGCCTTGGCTCCCGGGCCAGTCGTTCTTGGCCCGGCCGGGACCACCCGCGAGGCGCTCAGCCCGGGCTGATCGCGGGGCTCAAAGATGCTCTGACCGCACCGTGCGCGCCGAGGCGGCCGGGAAGGCACTGAGCCTGGCTGAGGGCTTCGGCGTCCCGGAGGACCCGCCCCTAGGCACTAGACACCTTTCAGCCCCGCCACTGCCTGGCCTGGAAGGTCCACGGCTCCCGGCTCCGGCCCCAGCCGGGACCCGCACATTCTGAGCGCAGACGCGCAGGACCAGTTCTCCGGGTTTCCCAGCTCCAAGTCCGCAAGTTAACCGCGGCGCGGATCCTGGAGGAGCTGCTCCCCGCAGAGCCAGAGCCTCACTCACCTCCGACACCGACGGCCGCCAGCGCCCCCAGCGCCAGCACAGTCGCCCAGAGTGGCCGGGATCGCGGCCGCGCTCGCATCTCGTCCGCCTCCCGCCGCGCTCCGCCCGCCCCACAGTGGGCGCCGCCGCCTGCGGCCGCTTTTCCCGCAGCCGGAGGGGAGGGGACGCCGTGGGTGGGACGCAACGGGGCGGGTCGCGGATTCGCGCTTCCTCCCCTAGGGCTTCTCTGGACCCTGCCCCTGACAGGGAGCAGTGGGAAACTGCGGCTCCTCTTCTCCCCCCGCCCGCCGGCTCCCGCCTCCCTCGCCTTGCCCACGGGGAGCCGCCTGCCAGCCGGCGAGGCGCCCAGGCCTCGAGGAGGTCGTGAGCGCATCCTAGTCCCGGGGATCTGCGACTGGGCACTTGGTGTGCTCAAAAAAGCCAGGAGCCTGTGGCCCCTCTCTTTACCCTTCCAGTCTCACTGGATTCTATAGATTCTTGGGACATATTCACCCACTACCTCGAGTTTCATTCATTCCCACTGTAATTCATTTGATTGACAAACATCTGTTGAATGCCTTCTCTGAACTGGTTCAGTCCATTATTATTCACTAATTTTTTTCTTGCCTTAGTTTGGTTTTCCGTTTAACTTTAAGCCTGTTGAGGACAAAACCACATCCCAAGCTTGTGTAAGCAGTGATAGGTCAACGAAGAGCCTCTCCCTACAAGCACTTGCTTGCACCCAGCCAGTGTCGAAAACGTTTCAGAACAGTCAGCATATTACCTCCAAATTCACACTCACAGGCTTTGGGGCTTTATCTATTTCCCTCAAAGGCCTCCTGCCTGACTCCTCCAACCTGTGGCCCCTTAACTCCTACCCTAGTCTTTCTTTAGGCCCCTGGATCTTCCCCAGACTTAAAACATCTGGAAGCTCAGAGAGGCAAAATACTATGGCTATGAGCAAGAGGCCACCAGGAAGTAGCTGGGGCAGTGCAGCCCATCTCAATGGGTAGCTCTGATGGTGATAAAAACAAGGCCTGAGGCATCACTTCCCCTGTAGGGCTTTCAGAGCGGCCCTGGGCTTCCCTATGACCTCTTAGCATGCCCACCCTCTTCTGAGACACACAAGATGCTGGACAACTGACCCTGAACCGTCCCTCCAGCCTATCTCCCACCCTAGTCCAAGAAGATACTTGTCATTCCCAAATGCTCCATGCCTTCCTATCTGACTGATTTTCCTTCCTTTTTCCACTTGGAAAATTCCACTTGTTTTTCAAAACATCTCAGATGCCATCTTTTCCGTGTAATTTTTTCTGACAAACCCCCACGTCCAGCCCCACCCTTTCAAACACTAGGGTACACCTTTATAGTAACACACATCAGCAGAAGTTTTACCAGCAATTTGCTAGGGGAAGAGTCAGCCCTGCGAAGTGTAGGTGGGCCCTTTGACCTGGGCTTTCAGACTGCATCTCCCTCTACTTCCCCTGGCTGCAGAGGGCCTCTGAGCCAGAATCATTTAAACAGCAGTGTCAATGCCCTGGAGCAAAGTTCATGTCGCATGGCCTGGTTACATTTCTGCCTAGGCATTTACTTATTTGCTCCTTTCCCGTATATGTAAAACCAATCTTCAGCCAGTTAAGTGTCTCCTCAGCCCATCCTTGCTGGCGCCAACCACTTGGGGTGGGCACTGGCCTCAGAAAATATGCTAAGTTCACAACCCTAGCCCAAGCCCTAGCAAACATAACATGATAGTGCAAGTGAGTCTGTGTGGCGCTCCCAGCCCCAGGGAAGGCAAAGGAGCTAGTCCATTCACATTTAGTATAGTAATTGATGGTTGTGTTTAAATTTACTATCTTGTTATTTGTTCTATTTTTTTTTTTTTTTTTTTTTTTTGAGATGGAGTCTTGCTCTGTGGCCCAGGCTTTAGTACGGTGGCACAATCCCGGCTCACTGCAACCTCCACCTCCTGGGTTCATGAAATTCTCCTGTCTCAGCCTCCCAAGTAGCTGGGATTACAGGTGCACACCACATACCCGGTCAATATTTTTGTATTTTTAGTAGAGACAAGGTTTCACCATGTTGGCCAGATCAGGTCTCAATCTCTTAACTTCATGATCCACCCACCTTGGCCTCCCAAAGTGCTGGGATTACAGGAGTGAGCTACTGTGCCTGGCCTTATTTGTTCCACTGTTTTGCTTGGTTTCTCAGTTTCTCTTTTTCTGCTTTCTTTTGAGATAATTTTTTTTTCTACTGGCTTCCTAGCTACACTGTGTGTGTGTGTGTGTGTGTGTGTGTTTGCTCTAGGTATTACATATTCCTCCTTATCATACATAGTCTATGTTGAATCAGTATTGTACAATTCTATGTAAACTGTAAGAACCTGTAAACTAAAAATAAGATTCTAAGCTCCACCACCCTAGCCATAGGAACTGACCCTTCCTCTCAGCCAAGGGCATTCCAAAGTTACTCTGAAAAACTAGTTCAAGCCATTATATGAAGCATTAGGGAAGGTGGGGGTGGGGGGGGTTGAACATGCCTCACAGCTGACCAGCATTAGTATCAACATAAAGACCTTAAGACTGATAGAATAGGCTAAGTCTGATAAGAAACATTTACAATCAATTCTCTCTGAAACCTGCCTCCTTTTGGCTTCATCTGCATGATAAAATTTGGTCTCCATAACCCTTTATCCTAACCCAGACATTCCTTTCTATTGATTCTAGGTCTTTAGATAATAACTCTTACAACCAATTGCCAATCAGAAAATCTTTGAATCTCTGTGTGACCTGTAAGCCCCTGTGTCAGATGTCCCGCCTTTCTGAACCCTACCGATGTTCTACTTATATGTATTGATTATTTTGTCTCCCTAAAATGCATAAAACTGAGCTATAGCACAACAGCCACAGGCACATGTCATCAAGACTTCCTGAGGCTGTGGCACAGGCATGACCTCAATCTTGGCAAAACAAACTTCTACGTTGATTGAAACTTGTTTCTTTAAGTGATCGAGACTTGTCTCTAAGTGCATTAAAGATGGCCCACTGTTTGCTGTCTCCACCATCTCTGGTGAGAAGTCCACCATCCTTTATATTCTTGTTCCTCTGTCTTCTCCCCCTGGAATTTTTTCCATAACTTTTTATTTTGAAATCATTTATACTTATGGAAGAGTTGCAGAATACTAAAGAGAGTTTTCTTATGTCCTTCACCCAGCTTCCCCTACATCATATTTTATCAAACATGAGAAATTAATGTTGATATAACACTATAATTAATCTAGCTACAGAATTTGAATTTTGCCACTTTTTCCACTAATGTTCTTTTTCTGGTCCAGAATCCAATCCAGGTCCCTACATTGTATTTAGTCATCATGTCCCCTTAGTTGGCCTCAATCTGTGACATTTTCTCAGTCTTTCTCATTCATCACTTTGACGCTTTTGAAAAGTCTAAACCAGCTGAGTATGGTAGCTCAGGCCTATTATCCCAGCACTTTAGGAGGCCAAGGCTGCTGGATCACTAGGTCAGGAGTTCTAGACCAGCCTGGCCCCGTCTCTACTAAAAATACAAAAATTAGCTGGGCGTGGTGGCATGCACCCTTAATCCTAGCTACTCGGGAGGCTGAGGCAGGAGAATCATTTGAATCTGGGAGGCAGAAGTTGCAGTGAGCCAAGATCGCACCATTATACTATAGCCTGGGTGACAGAGCAAGCCTCCATCACACACATGCACACACACAGACACACACACACACACACACACACACACACATACACAAAATCAGCCAGTCATGGTGGTACCTGCCTGTAGTCCCAGCTACTCGGGAGTCTGAAGTAAGAGAATCACTTGAACCTAGGAGGCAGAAGTTGCTGTGAGCTGAGATTGCACCACTGCACTCCAGCCTGGGGGACAGAGGGAGACTTCGTCACAAAAAAAAAAAAAATTAGCTGGGCATGGTGGTACGTGCCTGTAGTCCCAGCTACTCAGGAGGCTGAGGCAGGAGAATCACTTGAACCTGGGAGGCAGAGGTTGCTGTGAGACGAAATTTCGCCACTGCACTCCAGCCTAGGTGACAGAGGGAGGCTCCATCTCAAAAAGGAAAAAAAGAAAAGAAAAGTCTATGCCAGTTTTTTGTAGTAGTGTGTTTATTTGGGGCTTGGCTGTTGTTTTCTCAGGATTGCATTGAGGCATTTAGGACAAGAATACCACGAAAATGGCGCTGTGCCTTCTCAGTACATCGTATCGAGTATATGATGTTGACATGGTTTATTACTTTGATCACATGGTTAAGATGGTGTCTTCCAGGTTTATTCACTATAAAGCTACCATTTCTGTGGATGGCAGGGACTTAGCAGATGGATAATAAAAAGTAAAAAAAAAAAATACAAAATAATGCTCTGTGATACTGGACAAAGAAAAAAGAGAAAAAAACACACAAAAAAATAGGCATAATGGTTGAAGAGGTAGTAGAATACCATCAGATTAATTGCCAGTATAGAACTAATAGAAATTCTAGAATTTACAAGTATAATGTCTGAAACGAAAATTCTCCTGGATAGGCATTTGTTTGTAATCAGTACATATTTAATGGGAGGATACTTAAATTGTATGCGACTATCATAATGGTTTCATAATTTCACCCACTAGTTTTATATCCATCAATGATTCTTAACTGCAACCGATTTTACTGTGGCATTTGATTCATAGTGATTTTCTATTTTCTTTTCTCCTCATATAGTTATTAATTAACATTCAACAGCAAGGAAGAGCTGTCCTTTATCTTCCATTCTAAAATGTGTTTATTTATGTCAGCATAAACTCATGGATATTTATTTTATTCCAGGACTGATAATCCAGTACTATTGTTATTTTGCTGCTCTAATTGTCCCAGGTTTCTCTCTAGCTACTCTATTCAACATTGTCTAGGTATCCTCCATCTATTGGGAGACAGTTTCTAAATCCTTTCTAAGATTTATGTTCTCTAGATAATATGGCCTCAATTTATTTTATTTTATATATTTCATTTCATTTCATTTTTGAGACAGGATCTTGCTCTGTTACCCAGGCTAGAGAGCAGTGACATGATTACAGCTGACTATAACCTTGAATTCCTGGGCTGAAGCAATCCTCCCACGCTAGCCTTCTGAGTAGCTAGGACTATAGGCACACACCACCACATCCAGATAATTTTAAAATTCTCTGTAGAGACAGAGTCTTCCTATGTGCCCAGGCTTGTCTCA